ACTCTCTGCAAAGCTTTTCATCCAAGTCTTCATCCAACACCTTCAGCGGTGCGCCCTGCGGACAGTGCACATATACACACTAGCATCTCCAGACTGTGAGGTTCCATTAGTGTCAAAAATATGTTTATGTGTCTAAATTGTGTATGTAGCATGCTGTGTATATGTTAACTAAGTGATATGTTAAGTGATATTTTAAACATATATTAAGTGATATGTTAAGTGATATTTTAAACATATATTAAGGATCATAACTTATATTATAACTTATATTAATTATGCTTATGTTATTATATTATAACTTATATTAACTTATCATAACATATATTATATGTTAAGCACATATGTTAAGTGATATGTAAGGTGATATATTAAGTGATATGTAAGGGGATATGTCACAAAAGAAGTAACAAAAAACAGCTAGATCATAAGGCAAATGTAGAAAACTAAAAACAGGAACATGTCTGCATTGGTTCTTGCCAGGAGTCCAACAGATTTTTAAAGCCACTTAGAGAGGTCAAGGTCGAGAGCTTCAAATCTTTTTGTAAGATATTCCAGGAAATAGGAGCAGAGTAGAAGAAGGCCCTTTTGTTTAGTTCAGTCCTCACTGAGGGAACACTGCAGGTAATAATGTCCTGAGAGCACACGCTGTAGCTGCACTCACGCAGAGACTTGTAGGAGGAGATGTATGAAGGCAGCAGACCAAGAAGTGATTTAAAGATGAAAATGTACCGGTGAGAAAGTCTGTGTGAAGTTAATGATGTCCAGTTAACCAGTGAATACAGGGTGCAATGGTGGGTACGATAATCACAGCCAGTTATGAATCTTAGTGCACCATGATAGACAGCATCCAACATCTGCAGGGTTCTTGTAGGAGCGTTCATGTAAATAATGTCACCGTAATCAACGGAGGGAAGGAAAGTCACAGTTACAAGGCATTTCCTGGCATTCAGAGTTAGACAGGATCTGTTCCTGAAAATGAAACCCTGTTTAACTTTCAGTTTCTTTATTAGGTTTTCCACATGGAGCTTAAAAGAGAAATGCGAGTTGACCAAGATATCCAAATATTTATAGGAATCAACAAACTCAATGGGGACATCATTTGAGGATAAAATCAGAGGAAGAACTGCTGGGACCGACATCCTTTTTGAAAAAATGTATAACGCATGTAATAATGGTACTTCCTCCAGTTATTTAACAGTCAACAATGGCGTACCACAAGGCTCAGTCTTAGGACGCACCCACTTTACAATCTACATAGGTAATGTAGGTCAGAGCATCCCTGATGCATCCTTACATTTCTATGCTGATGACGGTTGTTTATTGTCAAGCTAAAACAGTTGATAAGGCTTTCCAGCTTTTGCAATCTGCTTTCGACATCATCCAGTCTGATTTGTTCTGTCTCAAACTTGTCCTAAACACTGACAAAACCAAAGGGATGCTTTTTTCAAACAGGAAGTCGGTCCAGCAGTTCTTCTTTTGATTTTTATCTTCGAATGGTGTCCCTATAGACTTTGTCGATGCCTACTAATATTTGGGTATCTTGGTCGAGTCGCACATAGATATAGACACTAGATCCCTCATTGGCAGCTGCGGCGCAGGAATTTCGTCCGCCATCATGGAACGGTCGTCCTTATTTGGTTAAAGCAGAAGATGTCTCAGCACTTCGCAGCTTATTTCTGTTCTAATCGACGGACTGTTGATGTCAGGTCTCGGGAGATAACTTTTCACAAGTAAGATGAACATATTATTGTTATTGAGCATGCATCAGGATATTATTGTTAGTATTTTGTGAATAGAATATTACTGTACTGTATTTATGTCCACCAGCTGATGTTCAGTGAAACACCGTTCAGCTGCAATGAAGCTAACTGAGATCTGATGACAGGAATATTTTTCTAACAAGCATACTCACTATTTCAGTAGCTTTGGTTCATTATCAACAGATATGCGTCAAAACTGGAGTTTTGTTTAAGTTCTAGGATATAAAAAAATAAAACTAGGGAGAATATAGGAAATAGAAAATAAGATTGACCTCCTTTGTACAATGTTTTTGTGTAGACACAAATCTCCTGTTTTCATTTTGAAGGTTTCCCAAAGAAAAAGATGTGAGGAAGAGGAGAAAGTATCTTTGAGGAGGATTCATCTGAGCAGTGAGGATTTTAAACTGGAGGATTTTGATAAAACTGATCAGACTGTCCGACTGAGAGATGGTGTGGTACCATCGGTTCACCTTCAAAGAGTAGGAGCATCATTATACAGTGCCTTGTGAAATTATTCGGCTCCCTTGAACTTTTCAACCTTTTGCCACATTTCAGGCTTCAAACATAAAGATATAAAATTTGATTTTTTTGTAAAGAATCAACAACAAGTGGGACACAATCGTGAAGTGGAATGAAATTTATTGGATGTGTCAAACTTTTTTAACAAATAAAAAACTGAAAAGTGGGGCGTGCAATATTATTCGGCCCCCTTGTGTTAATACTTTGTAGCGCCGCCTTTTGCTGCAGTTCCAGCTGCAAGTCTCTTGGGGTTTGTCTCTATCAGTGTTGAACATGGAGACACTGAAGTTCTGCCCATTCTTCTTTGCAAAACAGCTCGAGCTCAGTGAGGTTGGATGGAGAGCGTTTGTGAACAGCAGTCTTCAGCTCTTTCCACAGATTCTCGATTGGATTCAGGTCTGGACTTTGACTTGGCCATTCCAACACCTGGATATGTTTATTTGTGAACCATTCCATTGTAGATGTGTCTTTATGTTTTGGATCATTGTCTTGTTGAAGATAAATCTCCGTCCCAGTCTCAGGTCTCTTGCAGACTCAAACAGGTTTTCTTCCAGAATGGTCCTGTATTTGGCCCATCCATCTTCCCATCAATTCTGACCATCTTCCCTGTCCCTGCTGATGAAAAGCAGGCCCAAACCATGATACTGCCTCCACCATGTTTGACAGTGGGGATGGTGTGTTCAGGGTGATGAGCTGTGTTGCTTTTACGCCAAACATATCGTTTTTCATTGTGGCCAAACAGTTCGATTTTGGTTTCATGTGACCAGAGCACCTTCTTCCACATGTTTGGTGTCTCCCAGGTGCTTGTGGCAAACTTTAAACAACACTTTTTATGGACATCTTTGAGAAATGGCTTTCTTCTTGCCACTCTTCCATAAAGGCCAGATTTGTGCAGTGTACGACTGATTGTTGTCCTATGGACAGACTCTCCCACCTCAGCTGTAGATCTCTGCAGTTCATCCAGAGTGATCATGGGCCTCTTGGCTGCATCTCTGATCAGTCTTCTCCTTGTTCGAGATGAAAGTTTAGAGGGACGGCCAGGTCTTGGTAGATTTGCAGTGGTCTGATACTCCTTCCATTTCAATATGATTGCTTGCACAGTGCTCCTTGGGAGTGGTGGCGCAGAGGTTAGAAGATGAGCTTGTGATGGGAAAGTCGCAGGTTCACCTCCTGGTACCGTCAACATCAAAATGTGGTTGGAAAAGGTGGAACACCCACACCTCCCTCCATCCTCATACGCCCCACTCTGGGCCCCTGAGCAAGGCCCTTAAGCCTCACCATCTGTTCCCCAAACAGGTCTCTCTTGAAAATGAGTTCTCGTGGCTCAGTGAGACTACCTGGATAAATAAAAGGGTAAATGAAAATGTTTAAAGCTTGGGAAATCTTATTGTATCCAAATCCGGCTTTAAACTTCTCCACAACTGTATCTCAAACCTGCCTGGTGTGTTCCTTAGTCTTCATGATGCTCTCTGTGCTTTGAACAGAACCCTGAGAATATCACAGAGCAGGTGCATTTATACGGAGACTTGATTACACACAGGTGGATTCTATTTATCATCATCAGTCATTTGGGACAACACTGGATCATTCATAGATCCTCACCTTACCTTACCTAAGATTCATAACTGGCTGTAACTACCGAACCCACCACTGCACCCTGTATTCACTGGTTAACTGGTAATCATTAACTTCACGCAGACTCTCTCACTGGTACATTTTCATCTTTAAATCACTTCTTGGTCTGCTGCCTTCATACATCTCCTACATGTCTCTGCGTGAGTGCAGCTACAGCGTGCGCTCTCAGGACAATATTACATGCCGTGTTCCCTCAGGACTGAACTTGGCAAAAGGGTCTTCTCTTACTCCGCTCCTGTTTCCTGGAATATTTTGCAAAAAGATCTGAAGCTCTCGAACTTGATCTCTCTAAGTAGCTTTAAACATCTGTTAAGTTCCTGGGAAAAAAACAAATGCAGTCATGTTCTTGTTTTTAGTTACACCACCCTACAACCTAGCTGTTTTTTAAACAATGAGGATGGAGGGAGGTGTGGGTGTTCCTTTTAAATACCATTTTTATTTTCACTTGTTGAAAAAAAATTCTCAATTTGTACGCACCCTTTATGATTGTCTATTGTTGTCTTGGTTGTTCACTGTTGTCATCACTCTGTTGAAATCAGGTCTCTCGTAATTGAGGCCGCGAGGCACAATGGGATTAACTTGTATAAATAAAGGTTGAATTAATACACACTTTACATAGACACATAAACATATTTTTGACACTAATGGAACCTCAAACCTCCTCTGTGTTTTGTTTTAAACAGGTCTCTCTTGTAAATGAGTCCTCGTGGCTCAATGAGACTAAACTGCATAAATAAAGGTTGAATGTAACAAAAAAGTTAAATAAGGGTGAGGGGAAATTTGAGCTTAGATGACCAAGACAAGAAAGCGGATAATTTGACGTGGAGTTTCTAACACAGAAGTTCAACGCACTCAGTTGGGAAAATAAATGAGAGGGAATGGTTCAAAATGGAGAATATAAAAAGACCAGTCTAGTTTATCGTAAAAGCTCCATTTTCACATGAGCGTCCTCAACGTGACGACGCACGTAAACAACCCTCCTGCACGTGCACGGCACTGCAAGCTAAGCGGAGCCTCTCCGTTCCTCAGCAACCGTGACGTCACGGGCTCGACCAATCGGGAGGCTCGCACGTAGTGAACGTAGCAGTCGCGAGAGTCTCGCGCTTCCTCTGTTGGTTAGCTAGCGGCGGGCGGCTCGAGCGTGTTTGTGCGGTGTTCAGTGTTTTTATTTCTTGTTAAAGTAAAGAGAGGACTTCACGTCGCTGGGTCAGGATTCTTTTCTTCCCACAGCTGGACACAAACCCGCCGGATCTTCAGTTTCACGGTCAGTCCATCAAACGGTAGCAGTCCGCGGCTGCAGCTCGGTTTGTTTTGGACCACTCGGCCAGTTCAGCAATGTTTATAGGGACACTTGCATGCGTTTAAACACTATTTAAACCATAGAAACTAAGTGTTTGTGAAAAAATTATTATTTCAGTACGCTTATGCGTGTTTATTTCTTGTTTAAGCTGTAATCAGCTGGGTTTTTTTTGGCTCCTAGGTGCAGCGTGTGCGAGCTGTGTTCATCATGTTGAGTCTGTTGTTCATGTTTTCTGCATCTTTCTTCATCTCAGGACTCCAATGATGAGTTATGCTGAAAAGCCAGAGGACATCACAAAAGAGGAGTGGATGGAAAAACTAAACAATGTTCACATACAGAGGGCAGACATGAATCGACTCATAATGAATTACCTGGTCACAGGTGAGTTTATAAATATATATATATTAACATACTGCAGGGCTCCATTCTTGGACCCCTTCTCTTTTTTTAATTGCTGCCACTAGGTGCTATTTTTTGTAAACATGGCATCCCTTTTCATTTTTACACCGATGACTGTCAAATTTACTTCTCTCCAAAGCAACTAGTGCATGTTCTATCCAACCTCTTCTTGACTGCCTGGTTGACATTAGGGATTAGATGACTTTAAATTTCTTAAATTTTAAGTCATGTTGTTTCCACCTAATGGCACAATCAGGAACCACTGTATTGACCTTTCCTCTCTAGCTGCGTTAGAGAAACAAGTTGTCACTACTGTGGGAGTGAAAATGGACCCGTCCATGAAACTATGGGTGTAGCGGTACGCTAAAATCACATTTCGGTTCGGTTCAGTTTCAAGGAGGGCTCGGTTTGGTTAATTTTCAGTACATAAAAGGCCACAATAAAGACTTACACAATTTTATTTTGAAAATATGCCAAGTAAACAAGTTCAGTCATTACAGACATCTTAGCTGGAGGTGATCTGGTGGATGAAGAAGACTCAGCTGCTGTCCTCAGACTGCAAACAACACAGAGATAAAAAAAAATTGAGTTATTAACTCTAAAATGTTAATTAGATCAAACTAATACAATACCTCTTCTTGCACAGTCATTATATGAGGTGGTTGAATATCCTCTCTCGCTCATCATGAGGGCAGGGCTTTAAATCTGGGGTCGGGCTTGTTAAGATCAATTTTAGCTTTTTCATAAAGTGCTGCTACAACTTTTTGGCTGAAGTGTTGACGTGATGGATGTCGTAGGGAGGGGGGCTCAACAACTTTAATCATATGCTTAAAGCCGGCGCATCAACAACAGAATACGGACGTAGATCCCTAGCTTTAAAATCTCCTACAGCTTGTGTTATTGCTTTGGACTGATCTGAATTACCTGATGAAGGTTGTTTAATGCTGCTGTTATCGGTCTTTGCACCAAACTACATTCGGATGATGTCGTTTCAAGTGCGTTAACAATTTATAGACGTGTTGTCTGCTGCAGATCCACTCTCCGTGAAACAACGTCGACACACAGCTTTGGATTTGTTCACTTGTCTTTTAACAAGAAAGCCACAATGTTCCCAAACAGGAGACCGCAATGAGATGGCTTGTTCGTTGGCTGCTAATGCTACACGTGCTGCAAGATAATAGCGCCATGCTGAAACACGTGTAGGAACTTTAGTTCCGCGGTGCATAATCTCTTGTTAATAAACTTTAATGAGTGAAAAAATAACCGAAACGGTACGCACGTGGACTGAACCGAACATGCTGTACTGAAACGGTTCAATACACCCACGTGTACCGTTACTCCACTACATGAAACTTAACAGTCATGTAAACATGTTTGTTAAATCCTGTTTTTTTTTTTTTTTTCAGCTGGGGCAACTGTCTAAATTGAAGCCCATACAGTCAGAACCTTGAGACAGTAGTACATGATTTCATAACATCCAGGCTTGATACTGCAATGCACTTCCTTTTGGAATCAGTCAGATCCCCATTGTACGTTTACAACTGGTTCAAAATGCTGCTGCCCGATTTTTAACTGGTACAGGCAAAAGAGAGCACATTACTTCAGTTCTGGCCTCTCTTCACTGGCTCCTGGTTCACTTCTGAATTCATTTAAAAATCTTTCTGTATGTTTTTAAATCTCTGAACAGTTCTGCACCCTCTTATCAGGCTGATCTGCTGCAGCCATATGTCCCACAGCGCTCTCTGAGGTCAGCAGACCAGATGATTTATTGGTTTCATACACTTGTTTTAAGCTCTCAGGTCTCTCTTGTAAACGAGTCCTCGAGGCTCGATGGGATTTACCTGTCTAAATAAAGGTTGAATGAAAAAAGTTCAGAGGTGACAGGGCTTTGTCTATTCCAGGTCCAAACCTGGAATGTCTGCATGTCAGGCTCCCTCTCGCTGTTTTTAAGTCTTGTTTTAAAAAAATTATTTTATTCCCTGGATTTCGATCCTGAATGAGTTGATTTTAACCTAACTGTTTTTATTATTTTAGTCATTTAGTTTCTTATCTTTATCTCTGTGAATTTTATGTATTTTATGCTTTGTCCTTTGTTTTGCTGCACAGTACTTTGGTTGACCTTGCTGCTGCTGTTAATTGCTTTATTAATTAAATGTTATGGTATAAATATTCAGCATACAGAATGAACTGCTCCTAACTTGTTTGGCTGTGTGTGTTTTACATGCTCACAGAGGGCTTTAAAGAGGCAGCAGAAAAGTTTCGGATGGAGTCTGGGATCGAGCCGAGCGTGGACCTGGACTCTTTGGATGAAAGGATAAAGATCAGAGAGATGATCTTGAAGGGCCAGGTACAGGAGGCCATCGCGCTCATCAACAGTCTTCATCCCGAGCTGCTGGACACCAATCGATATTTGTATTTTCATCTGCAGGTATGATTGCTGTCAAATCTATGAAGGTAAATTATGCCCCTTTTCCACTGTCACAGCACGGGTCGGATATTTCCAGCTTGACGCGTGTTTGAGGTCTTTTCCATAGTTCTTGGGACCGGCTCACCTCCCAGAATTCTGACCTGGCTTCTTAAGGGATCCAAGCGAGCCGAGCCATCAGAAACACTGTCGGTCACTGATTGGTCGGGGGGAGGAGTCTGTGGAGTCTTTCCAAACAACCCGATCCGCCATTTTCCTCTACCGCCTGCCATTAGCGATAACTTGAGGAGCCCTCATCCATCATCTTCTGCTTCCGGGTCGCGGGGGCAGCAGCTTTACGAGGGAGGCACAGACATCAACAGCCACCTCTTCAACTCGTCTAGGAGGACCCCATGGTGTTCACAGACCAACTGACTATTAAGTAATATCCTGATGCTGCTCAATAATCCAGGTAGAAAAATCTAAAAAAGTTGTCTGGTCCTCTGGACATTCACAAAACAAACAATAAATTTTACAATAAATAAACAATAATTTTTTGTTTGTTTTGTTTTTTGAATGTCCAGAGGACCAGACTTAACTTTTTTAGATTATTAAGTAATACATTTACGTTTTTAAATTTAATGAAAGACAAACCTTTAAAGTTTAAGGACAAAATTTAACCTAATTGTTTTCAAGTCTGTAGCTTATTGTAAAAGCAGTTTCAAAGATTACAGCACAGTGTGATGTTTTGCAATTTTAACATGAACCTTGTGCATATCTGTAAATATTAAAAGTGAAGATTTTTTAATACATCTTTATTGTAAAAATATATACTAAAATGGAAAACACATGGGTTTAAAGCAGGCAGGAAGGCAGTAAGGTAGGATTATGAATAAGGTTTATAAGTTACAGCTCATGAGGTACTCCATTAGAACATGACATCTCTTACACAACATCCTGTGACAAAACCTTCAGGGTGTTCTTCTTCTAATACGTTTAGTGGTGGCTAGTAAGTAGCTTAAGGGAGCACTACCACCACCAGGTGGTAAGATGAGTTGGATTCTAGTCCCCACCTACAGAGCCGGTCCAGAAGTGTAAATGGAAATTCGACACATGAGCCGATCTGAACCGACCCAAACTGACCTGATCCGCACCGTAACAGTGGAAAAGGGTCATTAGACTCAAGTAAAAGTAGTCACAAGCATACAGATTTATATGCATAACAATATTCTGTGCATACAACTTGTGAAATGCACACAAATCACCTGCTGCAGTCGGCTCAGTCAACACAAGTGCACGGTTCTGCACATGTGAAAGTGACTTTTGAGACTCGCTGTGTTCAAGGCTGGTGAAAAACTGGGACATTTGAGCTTCACTAGATTTACAGTTTTGTGGCTGAGTGGTTAGAGCAGTCGTCCTCCAATGGGAGAGTTGGGGGGGGTTGATTCCACCAGCAGTCACTTGTTGAAGTGTCCCTGGGCAAGACACTGAATCCCAATTGGTGTAACCGTGTGTCATTACTGTCGACGTGAATATCAATCTTGCTGTATTTAGCCTTAGTCAGCCATTTTACATAAGATTCAATGTCGCCCGTTCTGGCCCCTGGAATGCATTTGACTATGGCCGCTGGAGTCCCTAAAACCACGTTTCATAAAAGTTATGAACAGAATCGGTGACAACAGGCAGCCCTGGCGGAGTCCCAACTCCCACCCTGAAGAGGTCCAGGCTTTTGTCTCAGCAACAGCCAAGGCCGTGGACTGTTTGGCCCTCCAGAACTCCTCAGCTGCCTCCAGAGTCCCACCAGCCAACAAGGTCCGATAGGACGCCTTCTTCACCTTTACAGCCTCCCTAACCCGGGGTGTCCACCACCGAGTTCCAGGATGGTCACTGTGAGAAGCACTGACAACCTTGTGGCCACAGCTCAAGGCAGCTACGGTGCGGAACATGGCCCACTCAGACTTGGGATGTGGCTACAGCTCTCCCGGAGGTTTGAGTTCAATGTTTCCCCTATCATTATAGAAGCAGGGCACCCACTCTGTCAACAGAACCAAGCCCCCTACCTACCGAACCCCACCCCATCGAAAACTGTAGGCAAACTAGCGTTGTGCAATACAGACACACTACCTAAAAAGCTACAGAGGAGCGCTCCATTTCCCTCTGAGCCATCTCCCCTTCCCCCCGTTGATCCAAACAACGCACAACACAGATGTGTCTCCTCCACCCCCCACCCCTGCCAACAAAAATGACGGAAGATACGAGCGCCTTGCCAAGCCAAGTAAACTAAGGGAAACACTGGATTTGAAGATCTTTGACGGATTCTTCTGCCAGATGTTGCGTAGACACGTAATTCATTAACATCTAACATTCATGTACACTGATTGCATAACAGTTCTAGATAAAACAGATATGAATCATCAAACTATATTAGGAAAAAACTAATTTACTGGGGCCCAAAAAGAAAATATTTTTGCTGTTTTGCATCTGCCATGACAGAGCCACGTTCTCCATGAAAGTCTGCATTGGATTTACAGTGAGGAAAAGAAGTATTTGAACACCCTGCGACTTTGCAAGTTCTCCCACTTAGAAATCATGGAGGGGTCTGAAATGTTCATCTTAGGTGCATGTCCACTGTGAGAGACATAATCTACAAAAATATAAAAATCCAGAAATCAAAATGTATGATTTTTTAAATAATTTATTTGTGTGTTACTGCTGCAAATAAGCATTTGAACACGTGTGAAAATCAATGTTAATATTTGGTACAGTATCTTTGTTTGCAGTTACAGAGGTCAAATGTTTCCTGTAGTGTTTCACCAGGTTCACTGCAGCAGAGATCTTGACCCATTCCTCCACAGATCTTCTCTTAGATCAGCCAGGTTTCTGGGCTGTCGCTGAGAAACACGGAGTTTGAGCTCCCTTCAAAGATTTTCTATAGGGTTTAGGTCTGGAGACTGGTTAGGCCACTCCAGAACCTTGATCTGCTTCTTACGGAGCCACTCCTTGGTTCTCCTGGCTGTGTGCTTCGGGTCATTGTCATGTTGGAAGACCCAGCCACGACTCATCTTCAATGTTCTAACTGAGGGAAGGAGGTTGTTCCCCAAAATCTCACTACATGGCCCCAGTCATCCTCTCCTTAATACAGTGCAGTCGTCCTGTCCCACGTGCAGAAAAACACCCCCAAAGCATGATGCTTCCACCCCCATGCTTCACAGTAGGGAAGGTGTTTTTGGGATGGTACTCATCATTCTTCATCCTCCAAACACGGCGAGTGGAATTAAGACCAACAAGTTCTATTTTGGTCTCATCTGACCACAGAACTTTCTCCCATGACTCCTCTGGATCATCCAAATGGTCATGGACAAACTTAAGACGGGCCTGGACGTGTTCTGATTTAAGCAGGGGAACCTTCCGTGCCATGCATGATTTTAAACTATGACGTCTTGGTGTATTACCCACAGTAACCTTGGAAACAGTGGTGCCAGCTCTCTTCAGGTCATGGACCAGTTCCTCCCGTGTAGTTCTGGGCTGATTCCTCACCTTTCTTAGGATCATTGATACGCCACGAGGTGAGATCTTGCATGGAGCCCCAGTCCGAGGGAGATTCTTCCATTTTCTAATAATTGCTCCAACAGTTGATCTTTTTTCACCAAGCTGCTTGGCAATTGCCCCGTAGCTCTTTCCAGCCTTGTGGAGGTCTACAAGTTTGTCTCTGGTGTCTTTGGACAGCTCTTTGTTCTTAGCCATGTTAGTAGTTGGAGTCTTACTGATTGTGTGGGGTGGACAGGTGTCTTCATGCAGCTAACCACCTCAAACAGGTGCTTCTAATTTAGAATAATAAGTGGAGTGGAGATGGACTTTGTAGAGGAGGACTAACAGGTCTTTGAGGACCAGAATTGTTGCTGATTGGCAGGTGTTCAAATACTTATTTGCAGCAGTAACACACAAATAAATTATTTAAAAAATCGTACATTGTGATTTCTGGATTTATTTTTATAGATTATGTCTCTCACAGTGAACATGCACCTAAGATGAACATTTCAGACCCCTCCATGATTTCCAAGTGAGAACTTGCAAAGTCGCAGGGTGTTCAAATACTTATTTTCCTCACTGTTGGATCCAATTTTTAATTTTAGTGCTAATTGCCTTAGATTGATTGAGTGCTGTGAGCGTTTAAAGCTTGTTGAACTGCCTAATGACTGACATGGTAACTTTCTGTCTGCGTCCACCAAGAAGTTCATGGGAAATGCAGCCAGGAAAGCAATGAGAACTGAGATAATTATAGGGAATCTTCTGCAAACTGGACATACGCTTGTCGGCCATGACGCTGGAATTGTCTCGTTTGTTCTAGTGTTTGTAAATGTTGGCTTGGACAGTGGCGTTCCTTTTCTCTTGTTCTATTTTAGCAGCAGCATTTGATCGAGCTGATCAGGCTAAGAGAGACGGAGTCAGCACTCGAGTTCGCTCAGACACAACTGGCCGAGCAGGGCGAGGAGAGCCGAGAGTGTCTGACGGAGATGGAGCGAACGCTAGCCCTTCTGGCCTTCGACAACCCCGAGGAGTCGCCCTTCGGTGACCTGCTGAACATGATGCAGCGGCAAAAGGTGGGCTTGAAACGTTCCCGAGTCACTTCTTCACTGTCACGTGTGAGATGTTCCAGCAGACATGAATAAAGTGGTGTGTATGGAGCAAACGGCTGAGGGTCCATGAGGAACACGGAGAACTAATTCCTTTAGGTGTTGATGTTTGTGCCACTCGTGCCTCCAGCTCGGCTGTTGATGGTCGAGTTAAATGTGGGTTTCCTTCTAGCTGGAACGTAGGAGCGTGCTGAACAACAACTACGGAATAAACCAAATGATTCTGCTGTTTTAAAATAAATGGTGAACATTTTTTATTCTTCAGTGTTTGGAACAAAACAAAGAAGATAGTTTTATCTGAGTCTTTTGAAACTTGAACGAAATGTTCCTCAGATATATTTGTTTCTATACTTTTTGATAACCTCAAGTAAATATGATTATGAGAGATTCTAAGGATCTCCAAAGAGTGAAGGTCGTTGATTAGATGCTGGTGTTAAAGATGAGAGTCACCATGATGGAGTCATGAAGCTCTGCAGGCGCTCGGTACATGAAAGATCCGGGCCCTGAAGTTAATCAGGAACAGATACTTTACCAGGACAGCAATAAAACAGTTGTTTCCTGAACTCACCTAAAGCTAGCAGCTGATGACGTGTGATGGTGCAGCTGAATTCTTCATAAAGATGAAACGTCAAATGAGAGAGCATTAAAACCACCAAGAGTTCCTCCCAGAACCGTCTGAGTGGACTTCATCACATCGTTCGGTCCTCTGTTGTTTCTGCTGCTTTTTCACAGGAAGTGCCATTTCTCTGGTTTGAAACGCTTCTCACCCGTCAGTGGTCGTAATGTTGTGGCTGATGACCCGGGTATTGGTGGGTGATGTTTTCCTGTCTCTGTGCTGCTCAGGTGTGGAGCGAGGTCAACCAGGCCGTGCTGGACTATGAAAACCGGGAGTCCACCCCCAAACTGGCCAAGCTGCTGAAGTTGCTGCTGTGGGCCCAGAACGAGCTGGACCAGAAGAAGGTCAAGTACCCTAAGATGACCGACCTGAGCGCCGGGACCATCGACGACCCCAAGTGAACCACGACCTTCTGATGGATGCTCAGGGAGCCCACGGATCTGGAGGAACTTACACGCTGCTTCCTGTTCCACAAACTCTCTGCTGTATTTAAAGTTCACTTTATATTTGACAGATGTTGAGTTCACCACACAGCTGGGCTTCATCAACACATCTGGGTGACGAGAATCACGGCTGATCGATCTTTTAAAGCTCTAAGTATTATTGTTGTGATCTTCAAGGACCTTGGCAGAGTAAAAGCCACAGATCTGCTGTGAGCAGAGTTTCATAAACAGAACGGAGCCATTTTATCCTCATTAATAAAAACAGAGACTTCTTGTATTATACTTTTAATTATTGTCTTAATTAATTGTCTTTTATTTACGTTCACAGCAGCAGAAAGAAATAAAGTCATGTTTTAAATGCTGGGTCCTTTCTGAGCGCTGCCAAGCTCCCATCATGCATCACGAGCACACGGAGTGATGCCACGGGGATGTTCTGGTCCATGAAATGTACATGTTGTTTCCACTTGTTCTGCATGTTTGTTCTACAAAGGAGGAGGTTTTTGTGCTTTTTAATTCTCTCTGTGTGTTTATATTAAATCAGTCGGTCTTGCTGCTGCTTGTTCGTTAAGTTCTTCATGGAAACTGGACCCACATCTTTTCCGGGTCTCACCTTTGGGTGTAGTGAACAGGGAACTGTTTTGTGACTCGGTGTTTTTGTTATTTTAAAAACACGCCTCTGAGCTTCATGCAAATGGAAGAATCTGGTGGAACCACCTCCCAGAGATAAGGCCCGGCACCACACGCCGGGTTCTGTCTCAACGGGTTGGATCTGTCTGCTGTGGGGACAGGAGGACATGAGGACAGGACTGAATGGCTGGACACTCAGCAGGACATAATGGTTCTGTGGAGCCCAGACCCGATGGAGGTGCCAGCGAGGAGCTGGAGGACCAGAACCTGTGGCCCAGGTGAGAAACATTTGCTTCCTCTTGTTCCAGTTTTGGGGGGTTGAGGTTCCTCTGACAGCCAGACTCGAACGGCCCAAAGAGGTTTTGGTTCTGAAACTAAAACTTTTCTGTCTGTTCGGAAACGTGACGAAACGCGGAGTTAAGTTTCCAGACCGAACCTGACGCCCTCCTACCCGGAAACGATCCCTGCGGAGCGGAACGCAGCAAGGGTAACCATGGTAACGGCGGGGTTCCGGGATACGGATTTTAAACCTGCGCTAAGCTGGTTTTGACCCGGGACAATAAAATTCTACATCCTGAGTAAACATTCAGCTGTTTCAAACGTTGTGAGGGTTCGTTTCACGGCGGGGGTGTTTAGCAGGGGCGGAGCTGCAGAGGTTTTTATTATGAGCTCAAACAGAAGAATATGATGAGGACGAGGGATGGAGGACCACAGTTATAGGAAATGAAATTTCGTTGGGCTTCTGTGCAATGACAATGAAGGCTGATTCTTACATGTAGACGTCTCGAGCGTGCTGGCCCTCTGCAGCTGTACGTCACAGCGTCCGCCATATTGGATGTGGCAGATCTGTCAGTCATCTAATACAAGGAAATGGACTGAACTTCATAAAACACCTTTCTACAAAGTGTTTTAAGTTAATCCTTGTCATTCACACACTAATATATTTGGAAAACAAACAGGCACCAAAGACAACATTTGTAACTTTTAACATGATTATTAAAAACGTTTACTCCTTAAATGTTAAAGTTATTGGCAAACCAAACATATTCGAGTGTTTACAACTACTAACGTGTGTAACAATATTACAGTGGTGATAAATTCAGAAATATTCATATTTACCATTTAATCTGTGTCTGTAATAACCATATCCTGAAATGTTATATGATGTGAATTTACTCAATTCAGTTCAAGTTATTTATATATCACCAAATCACAACAAAGTTGTCTCAGGGCACTTTACAGGAACATTCACAAACATAAAAGCCAATTAGTAAAGTTCTCTATCTAATGAATCCAGCAGACAAGTTGAATCTTGGCTTCGTTGCAGTCTCCCATCCTGAGCAAGCACAGTGGCAACAGTGGAAAGAAAAACTCCCTTTTAAAAGGAAGAAACCTCCAGAAGAACCAGGCTCAGGACAAGTGGCCATCTGCATTGACCGGCTGGTTGAGAGGACAGGAAGGAGAGACACATGAACAGAGAATGGTTCTTTACTGAATAAAGAGCACTAACGTTCATATTTTGATTTATCACATTGATGAGCATATATACACTAATATATCTTTACAGGGGTTGGGTGGTATGTGTGTACATTTATATATGATAGCATTGATATATGATATCTAACTGTGTGTGCATGTGTATTATTATAATTCTTTATTTCATTTCAAACTGTTAAAAATTTCAACAAAACCATAAACAAATAAAAACGTAAATATTTCCACCAAAATACACTGGAAACAAAACAAATGCATTTGAAAAGGAAGCAGGAAGAAGCAATGGCTGCAGTCCTGTCCCTAAATTTATACAAATTCTGAACCAAACCAGTTCTGTAAAAAATTAAGAACACAAAAACACAAAGTGTAGACCGAAAAAATGTGTAGGTAGAAGCACAAGCTTATTATACCTTCACTGTGTTATACATCAAAATCAAAGCAGCAGAATGTTTCCTATATAATTTGTTAAAACATCAAGGAATTTCAGCTAAATTGATAGATGTAAATGTATATTCATTAATGCCCCTTGTGTGTGTGTACATTTATATATGATAATATTGATATATAATATCTATATACTGTGTGTGTGTGTGTGTGTGTGTGTGTGTGGGGGGGGGGGGGGTATACATGTCCATAGGTTCATTAATGCCCCTTGTTTGTGTGTTTGTGTGTGTATTATGTTGTTTATTTGTGCAGGTTAACTCAAGGTCAACAGTACAATGAAATATTCAGGATGAGAAGAACCAATTTGACTCACTAAAAACAAAGAACAAACAAACAAGAAATACTAAAGCATGCAATAAGTGTACAAAATAAAGTACAGAAAAGTGAAAAATAAATATAATATTTACAAAGTCTAAAAGAAAAATAGTAAACAACAACATGGTAGAATATAACGGTGAAAGGATGAATTTGTATGAACACGTATTTCAAGGTAGTAATATACATAAGCTTAATGATATATTGCACATAAGTAACATAAACTACACAGGTTGTGTGACAGGTTATTGAATAGGTAGTGAGGAACACTGAGATGAATTATGATGTAAGGTAGTGACATACATGATACAACCACATAGTGCAGCAGCAATAAACATATTAGGTGTCACAGATGGGGCTTGGTGCAATGTTATTAAAAATTGTTCAGTATTATTATCAAGAGTTCAATAATCTGACAGCTTGTGGGTAATAACTGTCTTTGAGTCTTTTCGTGTGCGATGGCAGACTCCTGTATCGTCTGCCTGAGGGTAGTGGATGGAAGAATCCTTGTGCTGGGTGGGTGTGGTCTTTAATGATGCTGCGTGCTTCATGCAGACATCGGCTGTGGTAAATGTCCTGGACTGTGTGGAGACTGCTGCCTGTGATGTCCTCTGCTGTTTGCACCACCCTGCTTTTCGGCTCTGACTGGTGTAGTTCCTGTACCACCCTGTGGTGCAGCCTGTCAGCAGGCTCTGAATTCAAGGATTCAAGGATCTTGATTGTCATTCATTGAAGATGGTGCCGGTGTACGTGGCAGGTCACCGCTCACTGTCAATTCTAGTCGTTATTCTGTTGTTTTTGAGTAAAGTCAAGTCACTGTTGGTGTATGATCGCCAAACATTTGTGGATCTAATCCATTTTTTCCATTCAACCTTTATTTATACAGGTTAGTCCCATTGAGCCATGAAGACTCATTTACAAGAGAGACCTGAATTTTAACAAAGAATGATGACAACAGTGGATAACAACGACAACGATAGACATTCACAAATGATGCATACACATTTTATTTATTTTTATTTTTTTACAATTGAAAACAAAATGATAATTAAAAGGAAAAAGAAATGTGGTGAAAAAACAGCTAGATTATGAGGTGGTGTAGAAAACTAAAAACAGGAACATGTCTGCAATGGTTCTTGTCAGGAACTTAACAGCTGTTTAAAACTACTTAGAGAGGTCAAGAGCTTCAGATCTTTTTGTAAGTTATTCCAGGAAAGAGGAGTGGAGTAGGAGAAGGCCCTTTAGCCTAGTTCAGTAATCACTGAGGGAACACTGCAGGTAATAATGTCTTGAGAGCGCACGCTGTAGCTGCACTCACGCAGAGACATGTTGGAGGAGATGTATGAAGGCAGCAGACCAAGAAGTGATTTAAAGATGAAAATGTACCAATGAGAGAGTCTGAGTGAAGTTAATGATGTCCAGTTAACCAGTGAATACAGGGTGCAGTGGTGGGTACGATAATCACAGCCAGTTATGAATCTTAGTGCACCATGATAGACAGCATCCAACATCTGCAGGGTTCTTGTAGGAGCGTTCATGTAAATAATGTCACTGTAATCAATGGAGGGAAGGAAAGTCACAGATACAAGGCGTTTCTTAGCATTCAGAGTTAGACAGGGTCTGTTTCTGAAAAAGAAACCCTGTTTAACTTTCATTTTCCTTACTAGGTTTTCCACATGAAGCGTAAAAGAGAGATGATATTATTGGTGATATTATTTACATGAACGCTCCTACAAGAACCCTGCAGATGTTGGATGCTGTCTATCATGGTGCACTAAGATTCATAACTGGCTGTGATTATCGTACCCACCACTGCACCCTGTATTCATTGGTTAACTGGACATCATTAACTTCACACAGACTCTCTCACTGGTACATTTTCATCTTTAAATCACTTCTTGGTCTGCTGCCTTCATACATCTCCTCCTACATGTCTCTGCGTGAGTGCAGCTACGGAGTGCGCTCTCAGGACATTATTACCTGCAGTGTTCCCTCAATGAGGACTGAACTAGGCAAAAGGGTCTTCTCCTACTCCGCTCCTGTTTCCTGGAATATCTTACAAAAAGATTTGAAGCTCTCGACCTTGACCTCTCTAAGTGGCTTTAAGAATCTGTTGGACTCCTGGCGGGGTCCAATGCAGACATGTTCCTGTTTTTAGTTTTATACATTTGTCTTGGAATCTAGCTGTTTTTTTGTTTTGTTACCTTTTTCCTTTTAGCCATCCTATTTGTTAAAAAAAAAACAAAAAAAACAAAACTGTAGTATGAGTTTTTATAACTGCTTATTGTTGTTGCTGTTGTCCATTGTTGTCATCTTTCTTTGTTGAAATCAGGTCTCTCTTGTAAATGAGTCCTCGAGGCTCAATGGGATTTACCTGTATAAATAAAGGTTGATTGAGATGCGAGTTGACAAAGATACCCTAATATTGGTAGGAATCGACAAACTCAATAGGGACACCATTCGAGGATAAAATCAGCGGAAGAACTGCTGGGACCGACTTCCTGTTTGAAAAAAGCATCCCTTTGGTTTTGTCGGCATTTAGGACAAGTTTGAGATGGAGCAAATCTGACTGGATGATGTCGAAAGCAGATTGCAAAAGCTGGAAAACCTTAGCAACTGTTTTAGCTTGACAATAAACAACTGTGTCATCAGCATGAAAGTGTAAGGATGTGGCTACCTTTAATACATGGGAACTTAAAATTTCCCCCCAACTTCTGTCGGGAATTCCAGCTCACCTGTGCTGGGCTCTGGTGCTGCTCAACCGACAGAACTGTAATCGCCGCCACGGTAGACACAGTGGACGCACAGTGAGGCTGAAAGCCTTTTTGTCACAGTCCAATGATTAACAACCAGTCTTTGAGGTGTTTCCTGGTGTGTTTTGGAGCTGGTGGATGCTTGCCTGATTCGTGTTGTTGGTGGGGATGTCCCCCGGCATCGGCGCCCCTGCCTGCTCCGACTTAGCAGGTGCGGAGCGAACCCACAGAACCTGAGACCGCTGAGTAGGGCCCTCCCTCATTGTGATAAC